AGAACGCCCAGGTTACAGACAACCCATAGTTAAGAACGGAGCCTATTGTAGCAAAATTTGAGTTAAATACACAATGGTTTGTGTTAATTACACAATACTACTTATACAATATTATACAATAATACTGTTCCAGCTTACATACAAATTTAACTTAAGGATAGATGTCATTCTTAAACTGGGGACTACCTGTATCTCAAATTTTGACAGTCACCAGTATGAGGTGTCTTCATGCCATAAGCAGGACATGAAGGCAACAAGTCCCCCAGCTTTTTGTTATATAGAGTAGTCACAGTGACTGAAAATTCTGAGAGTTGAGAGCCTCAGAACTAGAGGGCTCCAAATTGTGGGAAGTTGTACTAGCATTTAATTCATATGCACGTCTTTGAAAAATGTGTAACTCTGTGTTTTATAACTCTCAGGAATGATCATGCAGGAAGAAAGTTCTACTAAATGTTTTCTCTTCCTAACCCCCTCCCAACTTTAGGAAGCCATGCCCATTCTCTTCTGAACAAAGCATAGTCTTAATGCTACTTAATCTGTTATCCAGGCTCTGTTGTAGTAGCTGTTGCCAAAAATATGTAGTAGATTTTTTACATCCTGAGCAGAATGTTTTCAATTTTCCTACAGGGTGGAGAGAATGTTGGCTTTTCTCATTTGGAAGGACCTCCTCACCGGCTTCCACAGCCATCAGAGCAGAGACATCAGCCAATGCGGAAGGTCACACTGACAAAGGGGACAGTGCAGCAACCGCATCAGCCTCATCAGCACCATCTATCACAGATTCACTCTACATTTCCTCAAGGACTAAAAAATATCCCAGGGATACATCAAGCAAAAAAGGTATTGTACTGGTTGTATTGATACCTTCATTAGTCGTACTGATACCTTTAAGAAATAACTTTTCAGGATTATTGAGACACTGAATTTGTTAACTACATTAGCTGGTAAGGTAGCAGAAAGAGAATTTGTCTTGGTGGTGTAGATTTGGGATTGTTTTGATTTCAGATAGAGCTATTGACAAGTATAACATTCCTATGTGCATGGTGGTTCTCAGGTAGCATTCCCATATCTGATACTTCCCAGATACATTGGATTCCAACTCTTAACATCTTGAGAAGCATCAAACAGAATTGATGGGAAATGTATTCCAACACTGGAAGTCACTGTGTAGGGGACCCTTGATCTAAAACCCTCTTGTAAGATCTTTACATCTCTGCAATTTCATGTGGTAATAGAAAAATGCTTGGGAGCCTACATTTTGCAATCCATAGATGTTTATTGCCATAATGTATGTCAGAGTTGTTGGGAACTTGTCTTAATGGAATAGCTGTAAAGTGGGAAGGGCTAGCTTGAGTTGAGGACACTGTTGGAAATGAAGAGTTCATGGAGGCAGGGGATGTTGCTCTGGCAAGCCTTGGTGTTTTGGGAGTGTTTTCTCCTAGGGATGGAACTCCCTGTTACATTGGAGTCTTTTTATGATTTCCTATTCATAATATGAATGAGAGTGAACCTGAAGAAATGTGACAGCCCAATAGCTGTGTTTATGAGTGGAATTTTAGCAATTTGCCAACCACCTTTTAGTTGGCTTCTGCTTTCATGGTCGCCTTCTAAGAGAATATATAACTTTTGTGTTAATCTGTCAGATTCCGTAAGTAGAAGCGCTAAATCAAATACTTTTTTTCTCAGCAGTGTATTCCACATGGGAGAGGCAGGGGGATCGCGGGCCAGATGGGCCGAGGCCGCTTGATGCCAAGCAAACCGAACCTGCGGGTGGTAGAGTGTAAACCTCAGCCCTGCGTCGTGTCAGTGGAAGGCCTCTCTTCGTCCACCACGGATATCCAGTTGAAAAACCTGCTCATGTCAGTAGGACCCATTCAGGTAGATCATCCCCCACTTTTGAAATATTTCATCCTACAAAGCTCTGTACTTCTGATAGAAGAGGCACAATAGGAGGCGTCTGGCTGTTAACTACATATACTTAAAGATGCCCACCACCAGTGTATCGGAAAGGGGGGGGAGAAAACCTTTTGAATCAATAAATTGATACTCACCCACAGCCCAGTGGATGTGTTGGCAAGTTTAACCTGGTTACTGATTTAACCCATTTTCTGAATTTGAACCGTACATTGACTGTAGATGAACCAGATGGACTGGGTTTGCATAGCACAAATAAGCCCCAAGAGAATTAACTAAAAATAAAACTAACCATGCTAACTAGATTAGTTAAAATGTGGCAGGGTGCAGTGGTGTTTCGCATTTTGCACCTACAAGTACCTCTCTCAGTTTTTATAGAGCTCTTTTCCATCCCCTCTCCAATATGCTAATGAGGAACAAAAAAATTCACATTCAGTGCTAACAAGGAAATCTAATGACAAGAATATTCTCTTAAGCAAATATTTTGGTGGATGTGCATACTTACTAACACCAGTTATTCCCACAAGCAAGGACCGAGCTCTTAAAAGCCTGCCTCTACCCACTCTCACATCTAGCTAGGTCGGAAGTGGTACCCAGGGTTGGGTTCTTCCTCACTGGTTAGAGAAATTAACCCTTAAACATTAGAGAATCCTGTTCTCATTTGATTGCAGCATATCTGCCAAAACATGAAGTAGCTGAAAAAAGGAGGGCTGGGAATTATTACAAGTAATGTAGGGGTGTTCTTATTCAGGTGTTGTCTATCACCTGTGAAGGAAGGAGGCAAATGTAGGGCCTGCTCAGTGGGGTAAAAATTCTCAATGAAACCTCCTTTATTGAATGCATGAATCTGTCTACCTCCCTCCCAGTATTTTAAGGTGAAGCCTCCAAATTGAGTTTAAATACTAGTGACTTAGTCTCCCATCCCAGCACTCCCTCTGCCTAGTTTTTCCAGGTCAGCTAAGTTTGGCTAGGTGCTGCCACATAGTGGCTCAGGAATTACAGAAATATTATACAGAGACCCATCTGCTTCTTGCTCTTGATACAAATATTTGAGATTAGCAGTATCAGCATTCTCTGAACCAGCTGGGAAAAACGTTCCTTGCCAATTCCATCTGCCTCTAGGTGAAAATGTCAACCAAAGTACCTTTTCAGTTTCAAAGGGAGGCTAATACAAAATATCCATGAATTTTTTTTTTTGCAAATAACTTGCCATCTGTCTTCATACGCAAATCGTTTTGGTTTTATTACTTAAATATGCATGTACCATGCTTTCTGGTTCTCCTGTTGGGTCCATATGAAAATATGATATACCTAGAGAAATTTTCTGCAAGAATGAAGAAAGAGAAGAACTCTTACTGTTATGAATTCTATTGCTTCTAGATTCTAGGACTTTACCTGGTCACACTTGGTTGGGAGTTTCCTATTTGTAAGCTCTGGATATGAGACAAGAACATAGTCCTGTTGAGGCACAATCATTATCATGTGGGCAGGTTGTCTTAATTCAGTGAGGAAACCGTAATAGAAGAAAACAAGTGAGTGGGCAGGAGTTGGAAATAACGAAAGCACTTTCTCTTTCATGAAGGGAAGCAAAAGATGAAAGACAATTGCTGTCATCATTTCAGGGGGACAGAGATGAGCAATCTAGCCCTGCCCACTTGTTGTCGCCCTTCTTGTGAAGAGGGTGGGTGTCTGCACTGGAGAATCTTCCGTATCCGTGGAGGCTCTCTCTGTTAATTAGGATCCTTAATTGATGGAGGCTCTCCATGGGTAAAACAGGCTCTCCGTTGCAACGCTCTCTGTATATGTGGAGGGAATGAAAGGAGAGGGAGGTTAGCATGCTGACTGAAATTCTGAATATACTTACCTAAGAGTAAGGACTCTTGAATTCAGGGACTTATCACAGAATGAGCATGCATTTCTTCGTGTTTGAAGCCAGAAACAAACCCTCTGTATATGTGGAGAGAGAGATCAAACATAGCCACATGCACGCTGAGGGACACTATGCACATACTTACCTAAGAGTAAGGAATTTTGCATTCAGGGACTTATCACAGAATGAGCATGCATTTCTTCGTGTTTGAAGCCAGAAACAAACCCTTTTTTTTTACCTATTTTCTTTTTGCAAACAGAAGGAAAAAGAGTTCTCCGAGGACGCTTTTCCCCCAAGTTTTACTCGATTTTCTGGAAATAAGCTGGGATAAACAGAGAATTATCCCAACATAGCAGTACTCTATATATGCTTGACTAGGAATGAGTCTTACTACATACTAAGTGTGTCTAAATCAGTGCTTGCTTGTACTCACATTTCTACACTCTCTTTCTCTCTGAGTGTATGTGGGTGCATGAGAAAATGGTTGTGTTTATGCAGATGGTATATCAATTGAGGGGGGGTCAGTTAATTTTACTAATAGGATACCTTATTTTGTGAGCAGTTTATTTTAATGAATAGTCATTAATTACATTGATATTAATTAATTATTTTTCTCCCAGCCAAGCATGTGTGCACACTTTGTTGGGAGAAAAAGAACATGCTGTAGTATTGGATCCAGTATGAGTGGGGAACTCTAGATGACAAGGCAGTTGAGCAGAGTATTGAATCTGTGCATGTCTCTCTGTGTTTATAATCTTCCCCACCCACCCCCCATCTCATGTTCTTGGGAATGGGGATATCTTAAATTCAGGGTAATCTTCCTTTCATTTAAATAATGTAACTATAGGAATTGGTAGTGCTGTTTTCTTGGTATCTTCAGACTCCCTCTGAGAGTATCACAGTACAGTGCTGCCTAGGGAGGACTTGAAGTCCAGTACCAACTCACTGGATGAAACTTACTGGGCAGAGAACATAGTGGGAAATTCAGTTATGCCTTCCACAGTATCTGTCTAAGGCACACTGAGTGTTGGACTCTGCAGGCAAACTTCTGAAGTGCCCCTTTTCTGTTTGCGGTTTTGATTACGATAATAATAATACTAATTTAATAATATTTATTAAACTTGTATGCTGCCAGATTCTCAACGACCCTGGGCAGCTCACAACAATAAAAGAAATTACAATAAAGTCAGTAAAAGATGGCAAGTGTGATGTGTTTGGGAGAGGGGTCTTACTCTCCCTTGCCAAAGGCCTGGGTGAAGAGCCTAGTCTTCACGGCTCTTCTAAACAATAGCAGAGTGGGGGCCATCTGGATCTCCGGGGGAACCTCATTCCAGAGGGCAGGCGCTGCTACAGAGAAGGCATGCTTCCACGATCCCAATAGAGGACATTGTTTAATCCTGCACCAACCCTACAGGATTGAACAGCTGGGCAGATGCTATGGGAGACAGGCAGTCCCTCAAATCACCAGGCCTATGCGCTTTATAGGTAACAACAGCATCTTGAATTATATGTAGGACAGTTGCAAAATTCCTTCCCCTTGGGATCTCATTCTTAAGAAGTGATGGGGTGGCATTTTGCCTGTAATCGTGAGAGAAAGGGAGGAAGGCTAGGCTAAGAAAGGTTTCTTCCTGCGTAGCGTAGAGCGCCTTCATAACCCCTCTTATTCCTGTCAGAAATGGAGATGGGTGTGGGACATGCTGGCTAGTCAACCGCTGTCAGCTTCGTCATTCTAAAGATGCTCTGTAGGGAAAAAAATTAGAACAAGTTGGCTGTAACCAGCTGATCAAGAGCTGCTACCAGTGTGTAATAAAATAAGTCATTTTTTAAAAATGCAAGAATTGAGGAAAAATTCTCCTCCCCCAATTGAGCTTATGGCTCATTAAGGTAACAGGTTTGGTTCACGAGGAGTGTGTTTCTGAGATATTTACACTTTCTGAGTTGCAACTTGGCTGAATCTCTCTTAAGGCCCTCCAGACTAATGACTTAAATTCTGGCTGCAATAAATATTCTGGGGTCCTTGGCCCAATCACACTTTGGATAGCTGCACCTCCTTCTTGGATTTGTCTTATTGCAGGCTGTAAACCTCCCCTCTCCCTCCCCCAAGTTATATACACTAGTGGTCCAGATAAATCCTGGCAGAGCTAAAGCAGAGAGTCTTGGACCTTGACATCCAAAAACACAGATTAAAAAATTCACATATTTGCAAGCCTTTTCTCCTACTTAGATATTTTTATCATATCCTTCATGATCCACATAGAAGGGAATTTACATTGGTGTGATTTGATGCACTGCATTCAGTGGTTGGTACAGGAAGGCATCACTGTATCATTCCTTATCAGGATCACCTTTGTGCATGCTCTGACAACAAGGTTGAACCAGTGGCACAATCAGACTGCCCCTAAATCACACCTGGTGCCTTGGTCTTATTGAACTACTTATTAGTAAGTTTTTCCACCTATCCCAGTCAATGGTTATAGATCAACTGCTGCGAGACCAACATACGGAAACATCTAAGAAGGTCACAAAATTCTTAGCCAAGGCTATGGCCATTAGAGACCAGTGGATTTGCTCTATAACCAGCAAAGTCTGGGTTTTTGTTTTTCCATCCACTCACTTTCACATTTGCTTTCCACCAACCTGCCTACCAAACCCTGGCATTCTCCATCACAGTCTTATTCTCTGCCAAGTTTGATTTATCCACATCCAGTGGCTTTTGCTGTATACTAAACACTGCTGCTTTCATGTTTCACTTCTCTCTAGCTACTGTATAATTTCACTGATTTTTTTTACTCTTTTGGTCTGTGGCCATCTATTAAATAAATATTTATACCACTGTAGCAAATAAAACAAGCTCAACAGTTGAAGTATAACTTCATTATTCTTTGCATACAGTATTTTTCCTTCCCATTAGTTTTATTGTGATTTCTAAATTCTACCTTAAAGTTGTAAAAATTCCATTTGTCACCTTTCTTTTAGACATTTCTGCAAAAACTAGGATTAGTGAAGAGATAATAACACTGGTTATGGATTCAGACACTGTACAGGTAATCCTTGGTTAACAACAGCAATTGGGACCAGAATTTCCATTGCTAGT